AGAAAGTGCTTTTGCGGAAAAGCGTCCGTGCCAATCTAGATGCTCTTTTCCAAAAATGCTTTTAACGGAAAACTTTTCCCTTAAAAGCATTTCTGGAAAATCATGCCAGTCTAGATGTAGCCAATGGGTTTTTTATTATGTACAAAATAAGTAGGATTTGAGTGGCTGCAAATAAAGACAGACCAAATCAGATTACTAAATTAAAATGAATAGAAAATGCATATTCTCTTGGTATTCACACCTCTCCATCAGCTGCTGGGAGTGAACCAAATGCACCCTGTCTGAATTGGCCTTGGTAACACTGGTGCTACACTTGACAAGTAACTCCTTTCTTTTGCTATACGTATGTGTGGGATTTCTACTCCATGCATCTGACAAAGTGGTTTTTACCCACAAAAGCTTATGCCCAAATAAATCTGTTAGTCTTTAAGGTGCACAGGACTCCTCATTGTTTTTTTGCAGATCCAGACTAACACTGCTACCATTCTGAGACCAGAGAATATACCAAAAAGTAGGATTTAAGTGGTTGCAAGAGGAAACAAACAGATGAAAGTAAGTCACTAAATTAAAATGAATAGAAAACGCATAGCTAGTTCTAATTCACTAGGAAACTTGTTACATGCAAATTCTTACCCTAAGCAGCTGATTTCGGTCTCTGACTTGGGTTTCCAGCCTTTCAAAGTTCTTCAAGTTTTCTCTTAGGGTGGGTCAGGCAATTTCAAAGGCCAGCAAAGTTTCCATTACTTATAGACTTTCCTCCAGGATGAGAATCTTTTGTTTGTCATCCCTCCTTCCCCATGGAAAAACACCAGGTTCAAAATCGACTTCAGTATCAGGTGGCATGGTCACGTGTCTTTCTAGACCAGCTGCTTTCTGGATTCACAGGACACAGCTCGATGTCTGGTTGGGGGTCTGTATCAAGCAGAGTGCCCCAAGGCTGGTTTTGCTCCACATCTTTTTTAATGACCTGAATGAGGGAATGGATTTGCAGATGACACTAAGCTACGGGGAAGAGGTAGATACACTGGACAGTAGGGATAGGGTCCAGAGTGACCTAGACAAATTGGAGGATTGGGCCACAAGAAATCTGATGAAGTTCAACAAGGACAAGTGCAGAATCCTGCACTTGAGATGGAAGAATCCCAAGCACTGCTACAGGCTGGGGACCAACTGGCTAAGCAGTAGTTCTGCAGAAAAGGACCTGGGGATTACAGTGGATGAGAAGCTAAATATGAGTCAATAGTGTGTCCCTGAAGCCAAGAAGGCTAACAAATATTGGGATGCAATAGTAAGAGCACTGCCAGCAGATCTAAGGAAGTGATTACTCCCTTTTATTCTGCACTGGTGAGGCCTCATCTGGAGTTCTGCATCCAATTCTAGGCCCCCATGCTACAGAAAGGATGTGGACAAATTGAAGAGAGTCCATCAGAGGGCAACAAACATTATTAGGGGGCTGGAACACAACTTATAAGAAGAGGCTGAGAGATTTGGGTTTATTTAGTCTACAGAAGAGTAAGGGAGGATTGGATAGCAGCCTTCAACTACCTGAATCGGGGTTCCAAAGAGGATGGGAAAAGCTGTTCTCAGTGATGATAGATGACAAAACGAGGAGCAATGGTTTCAAGTTGCAGTCGGGGGAAGTCTAGATTGGATATTAGAAAAAACTATTTCTGTAAGAGGGTGATGAAGTACTGGAATTGGTTACTAGGGAGATGGTGAATCTCCATCCTTAGAGGTTTTTAAATCCTGGTTTAACAAAGCCCTGTCTGGGATTATTTCATTCCGCTTTTAGCTCAGAGTTGGATTCAATAACCTCCTGAGGTGTCTTCCAACCCTTTGATTCTATGATAAACAAGGTTGTTACAAGCTGTTGAGTTGATCACCAAGCCATTAAGCTTCTGGGGCATCACTAATGGCTCTCATTAGCATATTTACAATTATGAACAGATTACGCTTTATATTTCAAACTTCACATGCAAGAATGATACATGATACTAACATAGGCAGGGCTTGACAATTTAGGTAATCTACTCACCCCGGGCAAGTAGATTATAGCCCGGCATGGCGTCGCAGCACGATCAGCGCATGCGTAGCGCAGTCTGCGCATGCACAGCGTGCTGGCGCCGCAGCACGATCAGCGCATGCGTAGTGCGGTCTGCGCATGCACAGCGTGTGGAACCGTGCAGCTGGCGAGCGGGGCTCGCTGCGGCTTGGCGAGCCCTGAATATAGGATACACAGATTCAACAAATTGTAACATTAAAATTGATAGGTTACATGAGATATTTTGTTTAAAGCATCTTTGAAGTATTCATATTCGTATTACAAGCCAATTTACATAAAGTATGGGAAGGAAGCCATCACAAGGGGCTACTTCAAGAATTTGGTAAATGGTCAAGGACCACACTTCCATGATATTAATGGGGGAGGTGTGGGATCTGGGCTGGAGGTTGGGTGGAGAAGGGAGCTTAGGGTAGTAAACTGGAGTGCAGAAGAGGGTGTGGAGTCTGGGAGGGAATTTTGGAGGGTGTTATGACCTGAGGCAGGGGATTGAGGTGCAGGAGGGAGTGCAGAGGTTTAGATTGTGACATGGGGAAGGAGAAGATTGTTACCTAGGGTAGAGGATTGGGTGCAGAAGAGGGTGCAGTGTCTGGGAGGGTGTATGAGTATAGGAGCAGGGTGTGCATGTGTGCGCACGCAAAAGGTTTGTGTTGTAAACTGGTGCAGCAGGCATAACAGAGGGCTGAGGGAGATGCTAGGTGCTTGACTTAAGCAGGCTCCAGCCAACAGCCTAGTGGGAACCTCAGGCAGGCTCCCTGCCTCCCGTGCCCCACAACATTCAAAGCAGCCAGCTATAGCAGCCACATGCGTCTCTTTGTGCCACATATCCCTTGGAGGGAGGAGCCTTCTGTGCCGTAAGCATGGCCCAGGCAGCTCCCATTGGCTGATTTCCAGTCAATGGGAGCTGCAAGATGTGCTGGGGGGTAGAGGTAGCATAGGTGAGGCAGGCAGAGAGTTGCATGAGGCTCCCTCTGGGCTATAGGACAGTGGCAGTCTGGCTCTGGCAGTTTGGTGGGCCCTATTTTCCTGCCTCTGATTTCAGTTGTTTGAGGATATGGTTACTTGCTTTTGTATATATGAGAAGGCTGCTGCTTTCTGCAACTGTTGTGGAACTGGAATGCCATGATATCCTGGTACCTGTCAGTGTAGAGAACATGTGCATCAAGGTGTTTTCTGGAATCCTGTACTTCTTATGGAAACGGTAGATGTGGATTTTAGGAGTTCTTTGGATGATCACAAATTTAACATATATATATTTTTCCTAGTAGTAGTGGTTAGTAGTAGTAGACTAGTAGTAGTCTTCTAATACATGTTCTATATACACTTTTAATTTAGCAAGAACAAATTAAATAAAACTGTATGGCAGATTATAAGAATCATATTCCAAAGCCTTTATAAAGTAGGAAATGGCCCTTCAGTTCTGGAAGATCCCCAGATAATGCAGCTCTTCGTATTTATCAGACAAACACATTGGTCCACTTAAAAATATCAGAGTAGCCACAAGATAAATTCTACAACACAGACTTCTACGTGGAATTTGAGAAATTACTATAGCAATTCTACATTTACACACAGTACTGAATTTTCATAATTGCAGAAAGGTACTCATGTTAAGGGAGAGGAAACTGATGAATTTGCTGAAACTACATAATTTTATTTGCTGGTATTGACATATTTGATGTAATCGTCATCTGACATGACATTTAACACAAACAAAAATAAAGCCAATATGTAATCTGTATACACAAAGGATTTACCGTATCCTTTTGGGTAATTGCCTTATAGTTAGCATTTTCCTAGATGGATTTTAACTTAAAGAATAAACTACATTCCTGTACTGAAGATCAGTACAAGGTGTTGGCAAAGACGACATATTTAGGCCTGAAAAAGATTTTGAGAGTCTGTTCTGATAACATTTAACAGTGTGGCTACATCTACACTGCAGCGCTATTTTGGGATGCTGCAGGTATCCCAAAATAGCTATCCCGCATCTTAACAGCAAGGCTGTTATTTCAAAATATTCCTCATTCCACAAGGTGTAAGGGACGTTTTGGAATATCAGGTTATTTTGAAATTTAGCTTTGTTGTGTAGACAGCACCAAATTACGAAATAAGCTATTTTGAAATTGACTCGAAATAAGTTGTGCAATTTGCGTAGCTCAAATTGTTTAGCTTATTTCGAGCTCTGTGTGCAGTGCAGATGCACCCTATATGTAAGAACTACAAGGCAACGATGTTTGTGTAAAGCAAAAATAAAGTAGCTAGAAAAAACTGATTTGAACTAACTCTAAACCTGTACTGACAGGGGAGGCGATCTTTAAATTTGTACAGTAAAGGGAATTTGAAGCTGTATTGTCCAATGCTGGAGATGACTGTGATGAGATTGTCCTGATGAGCTTCCATTTGTGAGTAATGATCAAATATTTGTTAAATCCATCTGCTAAATAAGAGAACCTTTATTCAATACCAGGGAATAAAGAATTTTTTTATGTGCTTCCATGGGATCAAGATCAGACCTAATATCATTTACTAATGTTTAGAAATGCAGAAGTTAAAAACCAAGTGTTTAGCAATGTCAAGTGTTCAATATAGTTTTGGTCTCTTGATCATTTGTCTAGGAGCTGTGTTAAGGCTTTGAAGAGAATCCAATCCAAGACTAGAAGGGTTGCCCGCAAGCCCTTAAAGGTGGTGATATTAAAATAGAGTACCATAAAGTGAATGAACTATGAAGTATTAATTGACTGATATCATGAGCTACCATTTGTTATATTGATAATCATCAAGACTTTATAGGGCAGTCAAAGTACCTAATATTGTGCAAAGAACCTAATATTGCGCACATGGACTATTTTGTATTTATTTATAATATACTGAGTTATAGTGGATTAAAAATCTACACACACACACACACACACACACACACACAGAATATTGCAATAACCTTGAAAAAGTAATTAAATCATGATATATACTGTACGTTATAATAGTACCATCACTCAAAAATACCTAAACATCTGTCCTGGTAACATAAAATTGGTATTTTGAAAGGCCCCATATACACATATGTGAAATAGCTGAAAATATCTTTCTTTGTCCTGCTTCATCAGATTAACCACAAATTTTGCTGACACAAAACTATGTATTCCATAAATAAATTACAAAATTAGTCCACCACAATCACTTTTTAAGCTAGTTAACAAACATATTTCTTTGTAAAAACCAGATTGGATAAAATTGTACTTATTTTTTTTTTCAAAGACGAAAAAAAAAACCCCCAGAGAACAACCCCTAGGACCCTGCGACTTTTAGTCACACTCGCCAGCCTGTAAGGAATTTTAAAAAATTATGAGAGTAACCCATACAATTTTACTGACTTGTGTTAGCGCTAATGTCTGACAGAACTGTCTTCTGTGTATGCTTGATTAGGAGACAACATTTACTTCTGATGTCTTCTGTGTATGCTTGATTAGGAGACATTTACTTCTGAATTACACTGAGGGAAGTAAGAGGAAAATCTGGCCCCGAGGATATACTTTTAACTCTAATATATTTTCCTTTTTCTCTCAAGTATTTAGAACCTTGGAGTCCGATTAAGGAAGGTCAACCCCTACTTCTTTTTGTAAACACAATAATTATTTTCCGACTTCGTATTGCCAGAAAATCCTTGCCTTGCTGGGTGATTACTGTGGGCTCGGCGGGGAGCATGGCCCACACTGCTACAACCCTTAAAATCTGCGCAGATTGCTGACAACTCCCCCTGAGAAGTTGCTCCGGTGCCCCGTCATTTCAAGGCTATGGGAGTAATGCAGCACTGTGGGTTGCAGAACTGACTCCCCTTCAGTCGTCCAGCTTCCCGAGCTCTGAGCTCCGGCGCCATGAAAGCGGAAGAGGCGACACCCTGCGAGGCGATCTCTGAAGATCGGCGCCGGCTGATCTCGGTATCAAGCAGAAGACAACAAGGCAGCCTAGCAGCGGCCGTAGCCCAGTGTTTGTCCCTGGCGGTGATGTGCACGGCCGGGGCCTACCCCAGCTGGGTTCTAGTGAGCGGCAAGGAGATCCAGTTCGTATTAGGAGCGGCCTGGGTCATGAACCCGAGAGAGCCCGCGCCTAACTCCCCGCTCCTGGGTCGGACCGGAGGCGGCCTGATGATTTCCATAGCCGTCTGCTGCATTCTGGCCATTCTGTGCGGCTACGGGGCCTTGGTGCTGGACTTCCTGGGGCTGCGGCGGGGGGGACTGGTAGCCCCCCTCCTGCCCGGGGTTTGGTGCTCCTGCCTCTTCCAGTTAACACGGAGCCGACTCCAAACTGAGAAGGAACTGAATTCCCTTGGCCTCTCCTCGACCCCTGGCCCGAGCTTCTTCCTCGCCATCCTGGCCTGTGCCTTAGCGGGCATTGCGACCGCCCTTAGCTGCAGCGCCTCCGCCCGCGTGGGACCTGCTGCAGGCCGTTCCGCTCTTGGGAGGGTGCGGAGAAACGAAATACCGAGCTTCGAGGGGGAGGTAGAAGAGGCTAGTGAGACAGAGCGCAGCCTGGATGCATGGAAGCAGGAGACTGCCGCCCGAAAGGAGAGAGTGGTGGCCTTGGTACAGGGGGAGAGGGAACCGGGGATGGCAGGCAGTCTCGACTTCATACAGAGGGAGATTGAATTCCGAATGGCAGGGAGTCGCCCCTTCACTCAGGAGCAGATTGAACCCCGAATGGCAGGGAGTCTCCCTTTGCTACAGGGGGAGACTGAATCAGCAATGGCAGGGCGTCTCCCCTTCCTACAGACAGAGACTGAACCCCCAATGGCAGGGAGTCTCCCCTTCCTTCAGGGGGAGATTGACACCCCAGTGGCAGGGAGTCAGTCCCTCTTCACAAGGGGAGAAACTGAATCCCCAATGGTAGAGGAGGGTCTCGTCCATGGCAGCAGTTAACCCCAAATGGTAGAGTCTCCGCATTATACAGAGAGAGATTGCCTCCCAAATGGCAGAGTCTCCATTTTATCCAGCCAGTGATGGACTCCCACTGCAGAAAAATCCTTTTAACTGCAGCAAGACATTGAGCCTCTCCCCACTGAGGGGAACATACTTAGCCCAAGAAGGGGACACATCATTGACACTTCTACACTACATAGAGATGGATGCAGCAAAATCCTTCCTCATCCCGCCTCATCCCTGGCAAATAACCTCCGAAATGAGAAGATAGCTACCCTTGGGGCAGAAAGTATCTTGTAAAAAAGAGAGACTTCAACTAAAACATTTAATTCCTGGGACTGGAGCAATCAGGAGGGAACCAGAATCCATCTTCACCAGAGAGGAAGGCTTCCATCAAAGTGCCTTAAAACCGATCCTCAAAGGATTAAAACTCTCCAACAGCAAAACTCATAAAACAGCATCTTTTAAAATTGCCTTAAAACTACTTCTAAAAACACATGGATGGCCTTAATAGGAGTGACACTGCCAAGTTAAGTTTAGAGTTGCCTACTGGTTTGGAAGTCCTCAAACTTTTAAGGAGGATTGGGCTGCCACAGCCTGTGTGTTCCTGCCATTGAAAAGGAGGGATTATGGATCTTGTTGAATGTTGTAACAGCGTTAAGCCAGTATTTTATGGATTTGCCTTATAATATATATACACACATATCTAATAAAATTGTAGTTTCTCTTGTATAATCTTAAACACACGTTTTAAATTTTTTTAAAAAAGAATATACCTTAACTAAAGAGTGAAAACAACCTTAGCTAAGGGATGAGGACCATCCCTAGTAGGTTGCAGAGCTCGTTCCTTGAGGAAATGTAACTTCGAGTCTGTCTGTTTGGAGAACAGACTCTTGCTTTCAAAGGGGAGGTCTTGTAGCGTGTACTAAACCTCCAGAGGAAGTCCTGAAGCTTGCAGCCACACCAACCAGCGCAGGCCACCCCTATTGAAAGTGGCCTCGCTGCTGATTCCAGGGCCTCCTGCAGGGAGATCTTTTCTATGGTGTGGCCTTCCTCCATCCAGTCCCCAAACTCCTGCCGAGTATCATAGGCTAGCAGCTCTTTATACTTTGAATGTGCCTCCCATGACTTAAATGCACATGGGCTGAGGATCACCTGCTGGGTAGCGATCAACTGCAGACCGCCAGTAGAATAGACCTTCTTACTTTAATAGGTCTTGTTGCCCCTGCAGCCTCTCCTTGCAGACAGCTGACACCATGAGAGAGAAGGGGTTGAAGGGACAAGTTATTATAGAGTATGGATAGTCTTTATAATTGGCAGAGCCACCCTGGCTGACCCTTCCTGGGACAGGGGATAGGGTCCCCCAGCTCCTGGATTTCTTCCATGGGGAGATTCATGTTTTGGGCTACCTATCCTAACAGCTCCTGGTATGCCCTATCGTCAACCAGAAGGGGACCAGCGATGGAGGTGCCGAGCGCTGTCTCGTCCAGGGATGGGGAAGAATAAGCAGGCGCAGGCAGAGTATCTCCCAGAGGCTCTGGGGGATGGTGGACCTGAGCTGCCTCCTCTGGTCTGGTCTGCCAACCCGCTTGAGATGCTTGGCCCAGGCCCTCAGCTGGTGAAATACTGGGTCTTGGGGGGACAGGATGCAGTGGCTGAGGACACCCTTGAGTGGCACCTATACTGGGGAGAGCAGGACCAGTGGCTTGTGTGTGAGCATCCTATGCCTAACAGGGACCTGCACAACATGTGGCTTTGCTGTCTACATGAAGAACACCACACTTAGAAGTACAAGCCCCATACCAGGAAGGACTGGGAGTATAGGGTCCAGTAGCTCCTCATAGAGGCAGCGCTGAAACCTCCTTAGCCTGGGTACCCCTTGGGACAGATGATATACCTATGGTGTCCAGCAGGGCCATTATGTGAGTGGCAGCCACTGCAATTGCCACAGTGCCAGAGGGTTGTGTCCTCTGCAGTTGGTGTGGCTCCAGCGTGAATGGGTTGACATCGCATCTGACTCCATCTGAATGCAATGACTAGGGGGGTGCTGATGATGTTGGTGCTTTGTGAGCAGACGCCGTTGGAGACCTCAACCCATACCAGGAAAGTCAAAACTTGGCTTGCTACCAGTTTCCTCTTGACCTTGTCCTAAAGTGAAAACTCAACCTTAACACCGAGCTCTGTGGCTCGCTGTCTGCTATTTTTAGGGGATGTCCACCTCTCTCCCAGGAGCTTGGTACCGAAGAATCTGCCAGTGCCAGGTGTCCAAAGACAAGGATGACGACCTATCCCGGTGCCACCACAGGGACTGTGGGCATCAGAGCATCACTGGTTTGTCCCTCAAGTGGTGCGGTCTCCCCAGTGCTGGCAGTTTATCCCACACCCTAGACACCTTGATCTCCGAAATCTTTACGAGGTCTTAGGCAGCCCCAGGTGTGTCAGGCATCAACAGGGAGTTCAACATTTGCACCAGACTCCTGTGTCCCAGTGATGAGCCACGTGCCAGACTCAATGGCTCCGGCTCTGGGGCTGGAGTCAATGGCAGGTCCTGGATCTCCCACACAAGGGACTGTTTTCACCATGCTTGGTCCTGCCTTGGGCATGACTTATGGGGCCATCTGCCACTGCCTTCTTTTCTGCCACACACTGTTGGTAAGATGGGAGTGGGTGCCTTGCTGCTGTGCCTTTGGTGTTGGAGGCCCTTGGTGGCACCAGCTTTTGGTGCAGTGTCACGCACAAAAGCTGGGGCTCTGCACACCAGCTGGCCTCTGGTGCTAGTTTCTCAGGCTAAGGAGGTTTCAGTGCTGCCTCCATGAGAAGCTGCTGGAGACTAAATACCCAGGCCTTCCTGATATGGGGCTTGAAACGCCTAGATTTTGCACTTCTGTGCGGTGCTCTTCAAGTAGACAGTGAAGCCACACATTGTGCAGGTCACTGTTAGGCATAAGATGCTCGCCTACAGCACACAACTTGAAGTCTGGAACATTAGGCATGCCCTGGTGACCCAGAGGGGGTACTGTCCTTGAGCACTTGCCCTCTTCTTTCTTGAGGTGAACTAACAGAAATAAAGATGAAAGCTGTATGCTAGGGCCTAGGAGCTTGTTAAGGCAAGACAAGTAGGAGGTTCCTATGCTGTGACAGGTGGTAAGAAGGAATTGAGGGAAGGATAGGGTTGGCATTGGTAAATATGCACTAATATAGCAGCATCACTCTAGTTGTCACCACAGCTGACCCTACAGGAGCTGCTAGGGGAATAAAAAATTCCTGACTCTCGTGCATGCAATGCATGTACAACTGATTGGAATGGATGTGAACAAGTACTTGAAGAACCACCAGCAGGTTAGTACCCGAGTCAAACAGAACCCCAGTTATACTTCTTGAGGGATGCAAGTGTGGAATTTATGGGATGATCAACCCCTCTTCCTTGTTTCCTTGATTGGGGAGAGGGTAATTCTTAGATGACCTAGATTCGGAAGAAACAAGGAGTCGTCCTCTGGTACCTTAAAGACTAACATTTATTAGGGCATAAGCTTTTATTGGTAAAACCCACTTTGTTAGATGAATTGGAGCAGAAATTACAGTAGTAGTAGTTTAAAAAAAAAAGAGGAAGAAGGTGCTTCCGCTCACACTGCAAGATTGATTGGAGTGGCCTCTGGGACCAAGCTGGGACGGAGTGGAAAGCTGACCCCATCTGTGAGTGTTCTATTAGTCCAGCTTCACGGTTTTTGACACCTGCCTTTAGATGCAATACAATCTTTTCATTTTTACAGTATATGGATATCTGAGGCACCTTAATAACTAGCACTATAAGAAACACTTCTGCCGAATATGGCAGGACTTAAACCTCAAGGTCTTTGGCATATCCCAGAGGGCTTACGGATGAAAGAGGACCTTAAAAAAAAAAAAGTGGGTGGTAACTCCCCCACCAGCCACAATTGTGTTGAAACTATAAAAAAAAAAAAACCTAAATAAAATAAGGAATAAAACAGAATTATTTTAAAAAGGCAGGAACCTGGGGACAGCAGACAGTTCATCTCAAGCCACAGGCTCATTCTTTGCTTTTTTGCTATTAAGGCCTCAGCTAAAACAAATATATTCAGTAAATTATTAAATATAGCAGGATTGCACCTAATGTATTTTGTTCAAAAGACTTTAGTGCCTCACTGCACTGTTTGAGCACCAGATCAACATTTAGCCAGATACTTATCTGCCTCTCCCTAACTTTATGTAGCATAGAAGATAACTGGGGTAAACAAACGTCATAGTAGAATTACACATTGGATGCTTCATCACAGTGAAAGAGAAATGAAGATAGAAGAAACCCTACTCTACTGTAACA